TGCCACTGGGCAGGGGTTCCATAGTCGAGCGAGTATTCCGGCAGTTCGACTGCAATGACAGTCACAATGGACTTACAAAGACCCATGGAGTGCCCCGCGTCCCGAGCCCTTCCCAAAACCTACCTAATGTCATCCTGCTCTCGGACAAGATCTGAAGTCGTTGGGTCATCGAGCCTGAGGGTCAATAAATTGTGATTAGACAAATGCAATTCACTTTTTACAGCCCCGAACTCAATTGCCGGGAGAATACTTGACTGGGGTTGCAACTGGCGTAATATTCCAATAAATCGCGATTGAACTATACTTTTAGGATTAAGACTAGGACTGAAATGTATTCGTATATGATATTTTATTTTATTAAATTTTTTAGCTGTAAAAATATATATTTCCTTCGTGTTTTTTTGATTCGAAATTTTATAACGAATTCAATTCCGCAAGTCACTTATTTAATTTAATTTAACAGCTATTTTTAATTTAGCTTTTTAGTATTTCCCCATTCTCTTCACATTAATCAATAAAATTTCGTCAATGAAAAAATATTTAAAGGTTTTTCAGCCTTTCCAAGTCGAACATTTCGAAACTTGTGTAACTTGGAATGCAGCCTCGCTTTTTCTCCAAAGCATTTTTATGCAAATGACTAGTACGACCTTCCTGCTAAACGATCCCCATTACGATCCCATGAAAGTTCAATAAAAAGTCCTGCCAGTAAGCCCTTATCCGCATCCTTCGGAAAGGGAATATCAAGGCTCATGAATCTTGTCCCACTGGCGCAGTCCCACGTCGTCAGCTAATACGCATCAGAGTCAATAACTGTGTTTGTGCACCACCCACACTGCCCCCACCCTGAAGAACCCCCTCCGATCTGCCACACCCACCCCTGACTTCTTGCCCTTTGCCCTTTGTCCTTTGGCCACACTTGCCTGGCTCACTTTGATTTGCACGCATGAACTCAGTTTCCTTTGCAGAGAGAGAAATAATTAACACTTAAATTCCAGGCTTATTCTATAAGATTATATTTTGCTCCAAACATATTGTATTATATTGGAAAATATACTCATACACACTGTATGTGGGATAAATCTACACAGATTTATTAACAGGTTTCTTAACTTTATTTATAATAACTTTTATAAGCATAGTCCTTAAAAGCCATAAGTTTTATCACAAAAAATCATTATTTTTAAGTTTTATTTTGTTTGACAAAAAATATTCATTATTTTATTTTAAATTAAGTCATTAAAAATGTAGTAAATGAATAGATTGGCCAAATTGTCTAGTCTAAGTGAGTGATTTTTTTATTTAAAAGAAAAACACAAGAATAATCATTATTTTTAGTTCCTATTTAAAATAGCCTGTATAAGAATCTTTTACAGAAAGTTTTGGAAGCGCTTAAAAATGAATCAAATATGTTGGCTTATAATTTGCTTGGCATTTTTTCCACTGTTTTTTTTTTCGAAATCTCAGCCTCTTGCGAACGGCCGAACGGCGTGTCAATGTTTGTTTAGCACCCCTCCTTGCAATCCTGCTAACCAGATTTCAATTTGTGCCGAGCAAAGTGTTTATGAGATTTCGGGCTGCCGCTGCTAAATGGCCGGAATCCTTGTGTCCTGGGAGGAATTGTGTGGCTCGACACCCCCGCAGGACTCGAAGGACTCACCGGATTCTACGGGGATCTGCGTGTGCGTCTGAAATACTATGTACCATATACTCGGTTTTATTCTTCCCTTTGTTTGGCTTTGTTTTGTCCTGTTTGGTTTGGTTTGATGTAATGTGACATGATGGTTTCATCAAAAGCGCATTAAAAACAAAGCGGAGTCGTAGCAAAACAAACAAAAGATGGCGAAATCGGGCAGGGAATCCCGTTATGGACGGAATCCTGCTTCGTAAATTGGCCTTCTTTGTATCCTGGAGATAAGCCAGCTCGAATTGTCATTGGTTATAGTTTCCCCTTTGTTGGGCACTTAATATTGCTTGTTTTCTTAGGTTTATTTTTTTTACTTTATTAAACAAGGGTTTTCCTTACAGGATAAATGAGTAGAGTGCCAAACTAGCTTACAATCAATGGCCAAAAATTACACCAATATAAAAAGCAAATTGTGTGTATAGTATTTTAAAGAATTGATTCACGAACTAATAGAGCTTTAGAGCATGAAATTTGAAACATTGTGTATTGTCATTTGGGGCAGAATTATCAAATATAAAATTATAAAATAAAAGTTTCAAATCCACTTCTTGTCTTGAAGTCTTTATGTTAAATTATAGTGGAATATTGATCAAATGATGTTATCCAATCCACTAGCAAGGCAATGATTTCGTTTGGATTTGGTAAGTTCACAAGGGTTAGCCCCGCAGGATCTCACAGGCCAATGCACTTCGTCTGAGTCCTGCGAAGGGACATGGAGGACATGGAGGACATGGAGAATAACAGGACAGGAGTCAAATCAAGACAGCAAAAGGATTCAGGCCATTAAGTTCCGGAAGCGAGTTGATAACCAGACAACAAGTATACAAATCCAGCCGACCACTGACACAGGACTCCATGGCATTACGGCGCTGTCCTGGCCCGGGATATTTATGCGTGTTTGGGTGTGTTTGTGTTTGTTCATTGCAGTAATTGGCTGGCGGGTCCGACAAACAACTTTTGTGCATATGCAAACCAGGAAAAAAAAAAAGAAAAGCGAAAACGAAAACGAAAACGGGCAAAGAACCCATGAAGGAAAATGAATCAAAGCGAAGGCATCCACGATAAACTTTTTGGCCCGCTGAAAATTATTCCTCGCCTGTCTAGTTGAATGGGGTTTTTTTTTTGTGTTAGGTAACTGATGAAATCTGAGATTACCGTAGAATTGATACCTCCTAGAGTTAATAAAAGCAAAGTAAGAGCATCACAATTCATAAAAAAAAAAAAAAAAATCCTTTTTTGTACCGATGTCTTCTTGAACCATGTAAATATGGTAATATAATTGTTTATATTGTTTTACAATGACTTATACAGAAGAAACCAACGTCTTCTGGTCTCAAAACCAATTAATCTAGCAGCTAATAGTTTTTCTTACTTTAAAAAATAGGTATACCCCGTTTAAGCCTGCTATGGACCCCTGTGGTCTACGGGTTGGGTCTATGTTAGTTACTTTTGTTTTGCGTCCAGGCTGGACGAGTAAATAAATAAAAGAGCCGTCAGCGGGAATTAAGCAACCCTTCCGTTGCGAATAAATCAGCAAATTAATCGCACAGCCGAGTGCAGACCGCAGTGACTGTGCCGCCACCCCCTTTTCTTACACTTTTTCTCCATTTCCCCATTTTCTCCACCTCCCGGAAACGGAAACGCACACACAGTTAGCCACACATCAAATCTGAATCCAGATCCCAAACGCAATTTGAAAATCGAGCAAACTTCGCCTCTCAAGTGGATTTAAATTGGTTTTGCGTAACCGCAGTCGAGATTGAGTTTTAAAATTTTTCAGTTATTTGTTGCTCCTTTCGGTCCTGTTTGGTCCTGTTTCGTCCTGTTTCGTCCTGTCTGCCACTGAACGGCGACACATTTCCGCTTCCGCTGGCGAGAAAAAAGAAGAAACCCCGGCTGGGTTTCATTTGATTTGACTTTTCACGTTTCATTTAGCAAACGATTTCATTAGTTAAAAAGCGCAGTTTCTTTTCTGTTTTTTTTTTTTCGAAGGGGGTGTCCCGAACATATTGTCCATGTCCTTGCTGGCCTTCCTTTTTCTTTTTTCGCCCCTTTCAATCGTCCGGGCGGAGTTCCCCCTTTGTGTGTGTGTGCTCTGTTTTTTTTTTATCGCCATTCAAGTTTGTTTTTCCGCTTAAAGTATTTTTATTGAATCTCCTTATCGTTTTTTATGGCCACTCACCCAGTGGTCCAGCCAACAACAACAACACCCCAACCCCCCCGATTAATGCTAATCTAAACAAATTCCGTCATTAAGGGTCCTTTTGGCTCCCCTCGTCCCCGGAAATGTCGTGCTGCTGGACTCTGGTTCCACATAAAATATTGTCAATCAATTCAATTACAAGTTGACATCATTGTTACTTATTGTTGACGTCAATTGTCCGGCCGAAACCCCTCTACTGGAGCGCCTGATTTATGGAGTTCCTCACTGGGCTGACCACTTCGTGGCAGTCTCTGCTCCAAGGACCCAACCCCTGACCTCGTTTTCTTGAGGCTGATGGACGGAGGTCCTTGCTTTTATTCTTACAGCAAAAATACTGCCTGCTGTTACACAAAAAAAAAACGATACAAAATGGTATAGGGAAAACGCTATAAATATACGGAATTATCATCTTAAAAAGTGTGTATATAGTAAATTAATTAGAGGAAATGAATCGCACAATCAGTACAGAAAACTAAAATGCTGTATGATAATCCTTTGATTTACATTAAAATTGCTTGTAAATTTAGTTTGCTTGATTTGAAATACTTTCCTTGAATTTGTTATGCATCAAAATAATATCATTTATTTATGTTGCAGATGTTTATGTGTAGCTGAGACTAAATATTCGTAGTAGTTTACATATGGAACTGGACTTTCAAGGGGCCACTTGATCCGCTTTTTGGGAGCGTGTCTACTCGAATTACCGATCGAACCCTCAAAGTTACGCCTACCCCTTTCAGAGTCGCGCAATTAGGCGGCACACACGCTCGCAGGCGGGGTCAAAGGTCAGTGGGTGGGGCACGAACACAGGACACACTCCAAGGCAACCCTTTTAATGACTTCCGTTCACTCGCTTTTCCATCGTCGCGATCTGGCCGCCGCTTGTCGCTAATTGCCACCGAAGAGCCTTTCCATTTCCATTTCCATTTCCATTTCCATTGATTGATTTCCCCGCCCGATTTTCTTCTTGCGATCGAGTTTTTCATTGTCTGCCAGTTGCTTTGTTTATTTACCAATAATAATGCAATAAAAGGCCAAAAAGGTTGGTCACCTTCGAAGGTGGGAACAATTCCCCACTTCTATTTGCCTTACACGCAGAGAAAAATGTACTCGTGTTTGAAGTGAAGGTTATGTTAGTTTATTTAAAGTAACAGTAATTATAGTCTTAGTAACAATTCGACATTTAAATAGTAGTGTAGCGAAAAAAAAGAAATAAATGGTGTTTAACATTTGGTGATAGTGTTATTTATAAGTTTTTGCCTTGCCATGGGATTTCCTTGTAGTCTTTGTAAATATTGTATTGTCTTCGGACGATGACGAGGGTTACATCCATTAGCCCTATTCTCAGCATCAGATATTCCATATTCAGTTATTCCATAGTAGTATCAATAGTATTATATTTTGAAGAGTTGAGAATGTTATGATTATGATGGGAGTATAGTTTTTAGCCAGCATTCTGTTTTATGGAACTGTTTGTGTTTGCTTAAAATTGCTCATTTCGTTTCGATTTGTGTGGGATTTCAAATATAGACTATGATGAAATTGGAATCAGTTTAGTTACATGATATTAGGTTTTTACTTACCGAGGAGATGTGTTTCATTTGTCCCCTGGCTTCTTCCGATAATTTCAATTCCCAAAATTTCGGGAGCCTGGGAAAATTTAGATTTTGCAATTTTTTTGTATACATTTTTTTTTAAACTAAGGATTATGTTGTATTTATTTAAGTTACTTACCAAGGGGAGAGCCATTTTCGGCTTTGTGTTTTAGGTGTTCCTTCCAGCAAGTGTACTTATCGAATGAACATTTTTTGTTCTGGGCCTGGGCATCAAGTCGAATTTTGATTTGACTTTAAAGGCGTCGACTACTTGGGTGCAAACGCAGAGCCTACTTGATTGTATTTTTTGTACTTATTCTAATTGTGAACTTTTCTAACGTTGTTTATAATTTAAACACCCTTCAATTTACTTTATTATTTTAAAATAATTTATAATACATATTGCTATTGTTAAATCAGCAATGGTTTTGATTATCCACATTTTAAAATTATTAAAATAAAAGTTTAAAATATTGTATAATAATTCCCTTTTTAGGTAGTCTCTTAAACCAAAATATGATCATTTATTTCAATATTTTAATTGTGAACTTTTCTAACGTTGTTTATAATTTAAACACCCTTTAATTTACTTCATTATTATTTAAATAATTGCTAATACACATTGCTATTGTTTTAATTGTTTTATTGTTTTTAATCATCAACATTTTTAAATTATTAAAAGATTATTTATTGAAAGGTTTAAAATATTGTATAATAATTCCCTTTTTAGGTAGACTCTTAAATCAAAATAGGATAATTTATTTCCATATTTCAGTAGTATATAATTTTTCGCTAAGTGTCACCTGTACAGGTGCTGCCTTTGCAGGCTGCTCTTTTGTCTGCTAATGGCTCGGATCGTATCGTATCGTATCGTATCATATCGTGCAGTATGGGAAGGGATTGGATGGGATAGTATCGTATCGATGTCGTGGGAAGGTGGCATTCAAATTCAAATTCAAATTAGTCGATCGACACCGCAGCAACCACCGAAGAAATAAACAGAAGCCCGTAGTGCCACTCGCCGGGGTCATGTGAAAGTGCAAATTTATATTGGTTTAATGGGTTTTCCCTTTGTTTTTTGTCTGTGATTTCGCGGCCGAGGGGGAGTATATTATGAGGTATGCGTGCGCCCTTTATGCAAATCATTGTAATGCAATATTTAAATTGATGTTCGTGGCTTTTTAATGGCGCACGTTTTGCGGCTCCGCACGCAACTTCCCTCATCCTATCTCTTTCGTTTGTCGTCGGCCTGTCTCTTTCTGCTTTCATTAGGGGTAAAAACATCTTTTTGGTCCCCATCCCGACTTATTGACATGTTAATTAGGCATGTGAACATCGAATCAGTGGGAAACGCTGCCAGAAGTGTGAGAACTATGTGAAAGGGACCTTTAGTAACTATTATTCCAAGTCTTGGATTCCCAGCGACTTTAAATGGGTTTCCCTTAAGCAATAAGAATTTCTTATTTTAAATTATATATATTTCTTAGAATAATCGTTTTTGAAAGTTAACCAATAAAAACTACGAATAACCTTTAGTAACTATTACGACTTTAAAAAGGGTATTCGTTAAACAATAAGAATTTCTTATTTCATATTAAATATAATATATATAATAGTTTTTGAAAGTTAACCAATAAAAACTACGAATAACCTTTTTTATCAACAATTATTCACATGTAAATATGTATGTTTATTTTTTGGGTTATAGTCTGTTTAAATATTTAGTGTCTTATTTAATTAAAAATACATGTAAATGCAACCATTAATCTAGCTACTTTATTACCTTTTCAATTACTCAAGGAACCTTTAATATTTATTATTCTTCGATGCCTAATCTCCCCCCGTTTAATTATCCATTTCAGATTCCACAAAGACCTGCTCTGAGCCCTGTTATCCCGCCATATCCATCCGTATCGCCGCATTTACCAAATATTCCACCCCCCCGAAGGCTGTTCACACCCCATTAGAAAGTCAATCTGTGAATGAACAAAACCTCATTCACACCCATAAAGTAAACTTTGGGTATCTGTGGGTCAGCAAATCGTCAACATATTGGCCGCATCTTCATAAATAAGAAAGTGTGACTGCGACGCACCCAGAAGAATTGGGAACCCTTCCAAAAACCAAAAGCCAAACAACAAAAATAACAATGAGGCACGTGCGGGTGGAAAAACAAGGGACAGGGGGGTGGCAAGGCAAAAGCCACATACAGAAACAATTGACTCTGGACAAGATTACATGGCAGGAAATTCAATTTTAAAAGCAGCTGCCACGTGTCGTTTTAGTGCTTGAAATTGTTACAGTTATTGCCTCGAGGGTGGGTGTTTTTCCGGGACACTCTGGTCCTCCGAATCCACCCAGTCATCCTCCATCGCTCATCGATGAGCCCGATGAGCATATGAATACGTAATGCCGCCTATTACCTTTCCCTTTCCCTTTTCTCCAAATTGAGCAATAAACGCGCACCGCTTTCAAATTGCGTTACAATTAAAGGCGGGGGGCGGAAAACAGCGGAAACGGAAACACACCACCGCCAACGTGTTAATTTGCAGGGGGTGGCTTTCATCAACGCTTTCAACGATTTCGGCCTTCAGTTTTTCACTTTTTCACTTTTTCAGCTTTCCATCGCTTTGGCAAAGGCCTTGCGGTGGCTAAAAGGGCGTGTGATTGACTTAATTGACTATGAAAATGAGAAATTACATGCTGATAATGACGCTGGTCGCGAAATGAGCAACAACATTATTAAAAACGACGAACGCCATTGCGCCCATCACCCCAAAAAGCAGAACTGTAAAATGCGCCATCAAGTTGCGACTTAATTTGATTTGATTTCTCCCTCCAGCCTCCCACCACCCACCACCCACTGGGTTTTCCCGCCCTTCCGGCATTTTATAGCCCCCGCATTGGCTAATTAGAATTGCGTCCCGCGACTTTGTAAACCCCATTTTCCAGGGCGGGATCAGTACATTGTGTCCGCCCGAGAGTTGGGTCATTAAAATTGCATTTGTCCTGCGGACACGAGTCCTGCCAGGAGGTAAATCAAAAGGGCAGTCATTTAATATCCAGGAAATCGGGGAGTCACCGCTGGAACATTCACATAAGCATATTGGTGGGAAATTGTCATTTTATTTAAATGCAAGAAAAAAAAGTAAATTATACATTTGTTCTTCCACATTATTATTACAAGGTGTTAGCTTATGAGATATTAAGCAGTTTCTGGGAGATCACGGGTATTTTCACATATAGTTTATATAGATCATACGGATTCAAATCCCAACTGGTTTCTTATTTAATTAAACACCATTATAACGGTGTTGATTTTACATTTCATAAATAAGATGCAAATTTAATTATGAGGTTTGGGACATCCATTCAGTAGTATAAGTAGCAGTTAAGCTATAAAACGTTTGTTAAAAAAATTGATGTTAAAGATGGTATGTGTTAAAATGGATGGATTCTTAAATGGTAAAGTTTCCTTTTTCGGCGTACTGCAAATTATGAATTGAAGAATTAATTAAGAAACAAGTTTATTTCTTTGTAACTTACTTTAGTTATTTTTGGAAATACCACTCAGGGCTGGTCATCTGCGAAAAATATGTAAGAAAATATGTAAAAATAAGATTTATAAAGAGAATCTAGACTTCTAAAAAAAAATAAATTTTACATACCATCGCTTTCCGAAACCGGAGGAAGTATCTCATTTTCTCGTGGGCGTCCTGACAAATCCAGTGGTGGAAAATCAAATGAATCACTTTCCTCGCTTGAATCGGTTGATATGCTTATATCGCTGCACGAGGATTCACTTGAGTCATCTGAAATTGGCTCCAATGACTCATCACCACCCTCCTCTTTCCATTCTGGATGGATCTCTAATATAAGCTTTTGCATTCTTAATAGATTTTTTTCAGCACTTCGTAGCTTTTTGATGCAGTCCTGGCAGATGGACTTCGGGAGGTTGTCCGTTGGCGAGATGGTAACGAAGAGATATTTTTCCAGTTTCTCAATGAGCTGCATTCTTTGGCCTTGGTGGCCAAAAAGGAGAATAACGCTGCGGTGAACTTTCATGCAGATCCTACAAAGAAAGCCCGGAATGGTAGCGTTTCCAATACTTCCCATTTTCGCGATGCAGAGTTTTCCGACTCTTATTAAAAATCAAGTCACAATAGTAAGCACTTTGAATTGACTTAAAGTGTCAGTACTGTTGTCCCCTTCTAATGAACACCACGTTTAAAACAAAAACAGTGTTGGAAACTAACACATAAGCCTTAAAAGAGTTGCCAAAGTTTGGTACACTCTTCTTCTTTTGTAGAGACCATTCTTTAGCCAATTTTTTAGGTTAGGGATATGTTTTTTTAAAATTAAAATAGCTATTTTTTGATAACATTTGCATATGGGATTATATAATAATTCATAAGGCTTAACAAACATGATTATAGCTAGGAAAGGGTAAATAGCAATGCTCCAGGTTTAAGAATTATTAATATACAAGTTAAATTAGCTCTGTATACAAATTCTTAAGGCGGCAAAAAACCTTTTTAAACTGAGCATATATAAAAAATCTATTTTCTTAATAAAGCTTGTGTCTTTAAAAAATAGCCATGGTAATCTACTATTTTGTTTTTTTGATCTGACTGATCACAGTCAAAAATTAAACATTCTTGTTTTTTTAAAACCGCTTAGTGGAAAAGCTTTAATTTTTTACTCTTTTATATTTACTTTGGTAACAAAAAAAAACAACATATTTTCTAATTATTTTGCTTTTTATTTTTGATTAAAAATAGAATAGAATATGCGTTTATTTTTCCGGTCGGCGATGGGATAACAATGGATGGCCTGGGAACCAATATGCGGGCTATTCCGGCTGGCAATCTGCACTCCGTCGAGTGGTTACGGCAAATCAGAAAGCGTAATTAACTCGGGCCTACAATCTCTATATATATATATATGTATATATATTTATGTAGGCGACTGCATGGCCACTTATCGATTATTTTATTAATTGTAATCTCATTTATTTGCCCCTTCTCTGCTCTGTGGTTCCTGGCCTGATTTGATTCGGTCTGGTCTGTTCTGTTCTGTTCTGTGTTTAATTTCCACGTTTATTTTGTGATAAATTTATTATTTGATCGGTCCGTCTGCGTATGCCATATACGTAGTGTGTGCGAGCTTTAATCAATTTTTCATTACAAACTGGCAGCGATTCAGTATCTGTATCTGGACTATATCTGTGTCGCCGATGTCCGCCCGTCCGCGGCTTTATCAATGCCAAATTCGAGCAGTTCCAGTCTCATGTCCGAGCATTCGGAAATCGCCTCCGATCAAGTGTTGTAAGCAATGCCTCACTCCACGATCCACCTGTCCAATGCTGAAATGCTCGGGGCACAAGTGCCTGGAGGCGCCCCATCGATCCGTGGTGGTTACGGATCCGATTCCGATTCCGATACGGAATCGCCTTGTTCCCATTCACCAATTCAAGTGAAAAGAGCTGGGCAAATATGGCTCTCTTACGAGGGCTGGAATTTCCCTGTAAACAGTTTATAGACTCAGACCTCGAAAACAATATATGATTAGTCATTGTGATTTGTTATATACAATCTGAAAGAATCACCTAAAAATTAATCATTACAAATAAGCTACATAAGTTGGAACTAGAAGGCTGAATACTTGAACAAAATCTAAAAATCTATATCTAAAAAGTTAGATCAGAAACATTGTTCGGTTACCTCTCAGACATAAAAATGGACCAAAATATTTGATTATCAATAAACCCCAAAATATTGAAGTAGATTTTAAGAAAATGTTACTGCAATCTTAGATCCGATTGGTAACAATGATGCTCTCTATAAGGGCAGTTTCGGGTCATCATATGCTATCAAAAACTTAGAATAATCTAACATGATAGTGGAAATCATCAGCTAAGAAATGTATCATCAATTAGCACAAGGATTTTAATGCAGATAATGAGAGAAAACTTTTAGAGGTATGCCACATTATGCCACCAAGTTATACCAATCTGCATGCTAAAACTCAGATATATCTAACATGAAGTTGAGCTTATTAATGTATCAGCTATAAGCATCAACATTTAAATGCAGATGATTTGATAACTTAATCCCGCAAGCTTTAAGATTATGGCACATTAAAATCGGCCAACGAGAACTTAGAAATGTCTATCTATATGAATAATTAATAATCCAGTACATTATACATAATACATTATACATGTAGATTATTAGAGAATTAGATCAGCAACATGTAGGGGGGTATTCTACATTAACATCTGATGTAAATGTGTTATACGTATTTTACTTCTGTGCAAACGGTATTAAGTACCCAAAAAATGATGTCGGTTGAAATCAAACCCGAAAACGGGATTATCTGAGTCAAAGTCCCTGAGATGTCCTGTAAGGGCATCAAACCCCCCGGAATCCACCTGGAAGCCCCGACCCCCCGGAACGGACCCCTACGACGGAGCCAACCGCCCGATAAGCTGCACGTTTGTACTTGACATGACGGTCATGCATGCTTGACCAGGTGGGGAATCGACGGACGGGGGCAGAGGAGGAGGCGGAGGGCGTAACGGAACGGATCGGATCGGGGCGATCGGCCAAATAACTGTCCAAGCGGTTGTGAGACATATCGCTGATATCGCCGGGGGATCGGTGGCGGGGTACGGGGATTCCGGGGGGAGGCAATCAGCTTGGCGCAGCGTGTAAGCGTCGCGGGTTGTCCAACAGTCAAACAGGCAAAAAGGCAGTGGGAATTGGGAATCGGGCTTATCGCTATTGTTGGGGGCGGGTGAAAATATTATTAGTTTATTTCACGATTGTGCCAACTGAACTGCTGCTACTGCTGCTGGCTTTCAGTCCATGGCTATATCACTGGCCCACTCTAATCTAGATCATTGAATTGTATTGAAATGTACTCGGGCCTGGGCCATATACTCATTTACGTAGTACACCATATATGTACACACTACATACGCCTCTTGCCACAATCAACATCCTGTCCGATCCGATCCGAGCGATACGGGTATGCAAATGATTAGACGACGATTAGGGGCTGTACTTGGATTTCTGACACTCCCACTGGCCCACCCCCCCACCCCTCCCTCGCTAATCGGTGGCTTTATGGCCATATATTGCCTGCTGGCCATTCAAACGGGTTATGGGCCCCATAAACGGGTGCAGCAATTATGTACTCCTGCTAATTTGCTGGCCAAGGGCCCACTGGGTACTTCGATTTTCGATGGATAAAGGGGGATCAATTGATAGTATGGCAAGTCCATGGTAGGTTGTGCCGAAGAAATACAAGGGCTGCAACTCACAAAAAATTATGAAAACTCGGCCCGAAAATACAAACCAAGATTTGAACACAAATTTTTAGAGAATTAAACCACGAACATTTAGAAGTATGCCACTTTGAAATCGGATTTCAGTAGGAAAAGTTATGAGCTTAGAAGTGGAGGTTTTGGACACTTTTCTGCAAGCCCATTTTTTGAAAATTTGGAAAGGGGTAACATCATTGAAAATGACGATTAATCGACCAAAAAAAAAATTTAACTAAAAACACAGATTTTTAGGGAATCAAGCCACGATCATTTTGAAGTATGCCACTTTGAAATCGGATGTCTGTAAGAAAAGTTATGAGCTTAGAAGTGCAGGTTTTGGACACTTTTCTGCAAACCCATTTTTGGAAAATTTGGAAAGGGGTAACATCATTAAAAATGATGAAAAATCGACCCAAAAAAAAAAATTAAACTAAAAACACAGATTTTTAGGGAATCAAACCACGATCATATTGAAGTATGCCACTTTGAAATCGGATGTCTATAAGAAAAGTTATGAGCTTAGAAGTGCAGTTTTTGGACACTTTTCTGCAAGCCCATTTTTTGAAAATTTGGAAAGGGGTAACATCATTGAAAATGACGATTAATCGACCAAAAAAAAAAATTTAACTAAAAACACAGATTTTTAGGGAATCAAGCCACGATCATTTTGAAGTATGCCACTTTGAAATCGGATGTCTGTAAGAAAAGTTATGAGCTTAGAAGTGCAGGTTTTGGACACTTTTCTGCAAACCCATTTTTGGAAAATTTGGAAAGGGGTAACATCATTAAAAATGATGAAAAATCGACCCAAAAAAAAAAATTAAACTAAAAACACAGATTTTTAGGGAATCAAACCACGATCATATTGAAGTATGCCACTTTGAAATCGGATGTCTGTAAGAAAAGTTATGAGCTTAGAAGTGCAGTTTTTGGACACTTTTCTGCAAGCCCATTTTTTGAAAATTTGGAAAGGGGTAACATCATTAAAAATGACGATTAATCGACCAAAAAAAAAAATTTAACTAAAAATACAGATTTTTAGGGAATCGAACCACGATCATTTTGAAGTATGCCACTTTGAAATCGGATTTCAGTAGGAAAAGTTATGAGCTTAGAAGTGCAGGTTTTGGACACTTTTCTTTAAGCCCATTTTTTGAAAATTTGGAAAGGGGTAACATCATTGAAAATGACGATTAATCGACCAAAAAAAAAAATTTAACTAAAAACACAGATTTTTAGGGAATCAAGCCACGATCATTTTGAAGTATGCCACTTTGAAATCGGATGTCTGTAAGAAAAGTTATGAGCTTAGAAGTGCAGGTTTTGGACACTTTTCTGCAAACCCATTTTTGGAAAATTTGGAAAGGGGTAACATCATTAAAAATGATGAAAAATCGACCCAAAAAAAAAAATTAAACTAAAAACACAGATTTTTAGGGAATCAAACCACGATCATATTGAAGTATGCCACTTTGAAATCGGATGTCTGTAAGAAAAGTTATGAGCTTAGAAGTGCAGTTTTTGGACACTTTTCTGCAAGCCCATTTTTTGAAAATTTGGAAAGGGGTAACATCATTAAAAATGACGAATAATCGACCCAAAAAAAAAAATTAAACTAAAAACACAGATTTTTAGGGAATCAAACCACGATCATATTGAAGTATGCCACTTTGAAATCGGATTTCAGTAGGAAAAGTTATGAGCTTAGAAGTGCAGGTTTTGGACACTTTTCTGCAAACCCATTTTTGGAAAATTTGGAAAGGGGTAACATCATTAAAAATTATGAAAAATCGACCCAAAAAAAAAATTAAACTAAAAACACAGATTTTTAGGGAATCAAGCCACGATCATTTTGAAGTATGCCACTTTGAAATCGGATGTCTGTAAGAAAAGTTATGAGCTTAGAAGTGCAGGTTTTGGACACTTTTCTGCAAACCCATTTTTTGGAAATTTGGAAAGGGGTAACATCATTAAAAATGACGAATAATCGACCAAAAAAAAAAATTAAACTAAAAACCCCAGATTTTTAGGGAATTAAACCACGATCATTTTGAAGTATGCCACTTTGAAATCGGATGTCTGTAAGAAAAGTTATGGGCTTGAGAGTGAAGGATTTTTGTCACTTTTCCGCATGAGGTAAACGTATCCTCAGCATAACAGTTATAGATTCCTTTAATAGTTACATATTAAATATCGTAAAGCTAAGTGGAAGTGGTTATTTGTAATTGGTCATATCCCAGCAAGCTTAATGTATTCCTTTTGTTTTAATTAAGACAATATATATAAATCCTGGTTAAGTGTTAAAAGCATTAGCGGTGATCAAATGTGCTTGAGTGTCAATCATGACCAGTGCTCATGGCTCATGGTGGCTCAGTGATTAGCCGAACCTTTCTCCGTGGTCAGTTCGCCCCATTGAGATGGATCCAAAACAAGTCGCTGCTGCGATCGTAAAAGTATAATTAACCGAGTGTAGAATAACTATGTATAGACCGTGGCGTATGTAGGGGCAATATTTATGGTACTTCAGTTGCAGTTGTTGAGTTTATGGCCCGTGTAAAAGAGTGTTTCGATTTCGTATTCCACATTTCGCTATTTGCCGGCTTGCTGCAATATATATGACCAGCCGAACCGCCACTTCATGTTTATTAATACATCGCACAAATATTATTGCCATTATGCTCGGCCTGATCGGCAATCGAATCGATTCGAATCGAATCGAATCGAATGTGGGTGGATGTGGCTCCACTTGTGCCAAGTGCCAGTATTCCATTGATGAGTAATTTAATTTGTCGTTTATTAGAATAGCACTTGTTTTATTTTATGAGATACTCCAGCGCCTCTACTTGACTTCGAGTTCTTTATTTGCCAAATGTGTCAGCGAGATATCTGCTCCACCGCCCAGCCTATATCTATCTTCCCAACTGATTTGCCGCCGGTATATGGCTGTGTACATATAATACCCCTGATGGCTCGCTAATCGACCAGCCGAGCTAAGGTCCGATGATTACCCTAAGTTCCATCCGGGTCTGGTTGCCCCCTTATCGAAAACGGACCCACTGGCTTTACAGCCTAGCCCCCTCGATCCCTCGATCCCCCATTCCCGATCCCCCATTCCCGATTCACGATCCAACGAATATTGTTTTGGTGCCGTAATCAAGCGAACTGGACGGATTACGATGCCAATCGCAGAACGGTAGCTAACAACCATAATCAAGACCAAATTTATGGTTTGTCCAACATGTTTATACGCCCCAGCGATACGTAAACTAGCACCCCACAAAATGCGGGGAGGTGCCATATTTACGATCCCATAAAGTGCATAGGGCAGTAACTCTTTTAACAATAACATTTTTCAATACTCACATTCTAAACCCCTTAAAACTTGTTGTTCTTACATAATCAAAAGTAATAATAAAACGTTTTATTTTTAATTTTTGTAAATGGTTTTTATTAAATCTCTAAAATGTATTTTGCAGTTTGTAGTGTTGTTTCGCTTTGCTTTCTGTCTTGAATACATTTGCCGTCTCTGTCTCTGTCAGCGTTCTGTCCTTGTCTTTTGTTAACATTTATGAACTCATTACTTGCTATAAATTCAAAGAGTTTTCTTTTACTCGCTATACACGCACACACACGAAAAAAAATATCGGTTAGGACTAAGTGTCTATATTATATATGTATTCATACAAAAAAAAATGGTCATTAAATTCTGTCTAAAAAATTTGAAAACTAATTACGCTTGATTTTAATATATAATATATATATATATATAGTACAGATTTAGTTGCATTGCCATTTATAAGTTTTTCTTTTTGGATTATCTTAGTTTCATATTGTTCTTTTTTTTTTTTTTTAAATATTTACAAAATTTTCCTTTGGGTTTTGACTTAGTTGTAGAAAAAAAATAAAAAAAATGTTCTCTAGTTCTAGATTTTATAAGTATTATCAACTTTAGTGCAGTAAAAATGTGGGATTTCATGGGACCTAAATGCCACTGACAATAGAGACTAATACAATTAGACATTAAATTGGATACTTCGAAATAACATAATCAGAAAGGAATTGGCCATCACAAGCCGGAAGTTAAATTATCCTAGTCTCTTTTGCCAATGGCATTTGTGTTGTATTCAGGAATGGACATTATGTATATATAGAGGTAACCCCTGACTAAGTGGGCCTGTTAGCTCTTGAGCTCAGGTCTTGGGGCTAGTTTAATGTATATCATTTTTGGGGCTCTTGCCGTCTAAATTATGTACAGGAATGACTCAAGGTGGAATCGGTGTGTGAGACTACAAACTATTTGTGATTTAATTATGTATCATTGTTATTAGTTTTTTCTTTTTTTATATATTTTATTTGGCTTCTTCGGGGATCTTGGGGGGGGGGCCTGGCCTCTGATTTATTGCACCAAGGGGTCATCTATCCACTATCTATTCGAGTGGCTCCAGGCCCGCGAAGATCAGATCCTAGCAATATTAGGGCCACCAGGCCGCCCGCTGGGCGTGGGCGTGCGGATGGGCGTGGGCATGGGCATGGGCGTGGGCATGGGCGTGGGCATGAAGTCCGGCGGCGGCGGCAGCGGCATGCTGATAGGCCGCTGCCCCATTTAATGCCACCAAATGATGGGCGGCGGCGGCATTCTGCATGGCGGTGGCAGTGGCTGACGAGACGGACACACAATCGGCCCCCAATTTGGAGCCATCGCCCAGGCAGGGTTTCCCATTCCTCACCAGCACCGGAACGGCCACACGACGTGGCGAGGGCAGTGCACTCGGATGATGCGGATGGGTGGCATGGCCATGCAGCAATCCCGGATGACCCTCGTAGCCCTTCTCGTTCTGCGCACGCTTCGTCTTGTAGCGATGGTTCTGGAACCAGATCTTCACCTGCGTCGGTGTCAGCCGGATGAGGCTGGCCAGGTGCTCCCGCTCCGGGGCACTCAAGTACCGCTGCTGTCGGAAGCGTCGCTCCAGTTCGTAGGTCTGTGCCTTGGTGAAGAGGACACGTCGCTTCCGCTTCTTGTTGGGCAGACCGTCGGGTCCGTGTCCACCGCCACCGCCACTGCCATCGGCATCGTCCACATCGTCGATGTCCTCCTCGATGCCGTCCTCGTTGAGGCTGTCGTCGTGGCCACTGCTTCCACCATTGAGGCCGTCATGTTTCAGGCTATTGTTGTTGTTATTGTTGTTCGTCGTATTGTTGTTGTTGTTGTGCAGGGCATGGGCCGCCGAGGGACCACCGCCACCGCCAGGAGCCGAGGATCCATGGAGGGTGTGAAGGGCATCGCCCACGGACAGAGCATCGCTATCCGCCGATCGGCTGTAGCTCTTGTAATCGCCGGAAAGTGCCGGCGATGTCTGGCAATTGGAACCGATGTAGGTGTACGATACCTCCGAGGTCACCGGGGAAGTGCTATCCGGACTGGCTGGCTGCTGGGTTCCTGAAATCACAAAAAAAGATAGGATTTTTCGTTATAGAGAGATGGCCAATTATGGATAATTTTTTTTTTGTTGTTTTTTTTTAATATTGAAGAGTTAATAATCGAAGAGTTTATTGGTATTCCCTTGCATATCCCTGCAATTTGTCACATCTTTAAAAACGCTTCATATCTGGCTCATAATAAAAATATCAATAAAATATCTAATACCCTTTTATGAGGACAATAAATCGTTTACTAAAACTCCATAAACATCATTTTTGTTCACTTAGGCGCCCGAATGCCATCAATTTGTTTGGTTTTCCAACTATGGACAGCTCAAAAAAAAAGATACAAAGGCGACTAGAGAGAGTTGGGTGGGAATTTGTCAGCAATTGAAATACCTTTTTGGCCGTAAATTAATGCACCGACACACCCCTCTTCGCATCGAAATGATCGAGCAGAAATGCAAGGGAAAAGGGGAAAGTCAGGATGGCAACTATGGCAATTGGATTAGGCGCGACATGAGGCTGTGGTCGATACGATCCGAATGCCAAATGCCAGATGTATGCACTCTATATGGTGTCTATAGTGTCAAATCAACCCCCTGCCCCTGCCCATTTCCCTTCCCCTTCCCCTAGGAGTTTCACCCTAATAACGTCAATTAGGCGGAGATCGTATATATGGTATATACATGTGCATGTATAGGGTGGTAAGGTATTCCCTCGTCGTCTACCTGGGAATGATCGCCCCGATCTCCCGTCGACCGAATGCTGACTGCTGACCTTCGGGCCTGTACTAAAAACGAGGAACCAGGATGCTAATGAAAGGACGACACAAAAGCCAAACCTCAAACACATCAATGGCAGTCGGGGCTCTTCCGGTTCGCCCACTTTGGATGGAGTTTCCAGGCTTCCAGCAGATAGTGATTTATCGCTGGGCGTGGCATTATATGATATTCTAGGGCGGGATCATGGCAACCGCAAAAGGCCCCCAAGGAAAATGTAAGAGTATTCATGAGAGAAAATCCATTACAAGGACTTTTATCTCAAAAAAAAAGGTGAGTGGAATTAAGAGACTATTTGGGACTATTCTAGAGTATCTAAAATTATATAAAAATATTATAAAAGGTAAAAATTATGTCAATTGATGAATACTAAACAATTTTACTTAACAAAAAATAAAAATGAGAAATAACAGATTTTGTAAATTAAACCTTTTATCTTCAACGATTTTGTAAATTAAACTTGTTATCTTCAACGGGTTAGTTTAAAGGTTTTTATTTATTATTTGTGGGCTCCCTATATTTTAGTTCGAATTTCCCTCAGTGTCCCATTGACTAAACAAAGAATCCAAGGCCTTAGGAGCTGCTAATGCTCATCCATTAGGCCCCTCCTCAAATCGCCGACTTGGTTGCAGTTGCCCTGCCACACACACACAAAAAAAGAACCCATCCGCTCACCATGACAACTCAACAAATTAATAACTTAATATAATCAAAACGACTCCTCCTCGACTCCTTCACAGCTGTGAAAATTCCCAAAAAAAAAGAGCAGACAAGAAAAAAAAAACGGCAAGCGGGCAGCAATTATAATTTGTAGCTAAACAAAAAAGGAATAATAAAAAAAAAAGAGGAGAGGGACGAGGCGGAAGTGCGTGCCATAAATTTCCAGGACGAGAAATGTTTGGGCCGCAACAACAAGGAGCGATTGAACGGGGCCAGCGATTGAATGTCCTGGCCGAAGGACACGAAGGACGACGGCAACAACAGCAACAGCAACAACAAAGCTAATCCTCAAGTGTGAAGCGCATACAAACTATTAGTCAAGATTAAAGGGGAAGCCCACCCCCTCGAAATGAAGTTATAGACGGCCCATTTCGATCCGCACTAAACTGCCAATGAAAAAGTGAAAAGTAAAAAAAACAAAAAACAAAAAACTGAAACGGCAGGGTCAGGATCAGACATGGCTCGTCACTCCCTGGGAGCACCTGAATCCTGCCGAATCCGCGGGGTATGCAAACACAGCTGCCTCATCGCTCGACTGCCTCATCGAACTTTTTGAAGGAGTGAGCAGTGAGTGGGCAATTACGGAACAATATTATTAGTCGGCCAGTTAATCGGGGGTTAAATGCAGTCGAAGGCAGTCGGAAAACTCGGAAATCCTTTCAAGGGATTTTTCCATGGCCCATTAATAAGTTTATTTTGATGGCTTACTCTAACATTAGACTTGGGATCATATGAATTGAAGGAGCGTCACAAATATTTAAGACTTAGGATCATATATCTTGAGATAACATATCATAGGATCATATATCCCATATATCATAGGAACAGCCCAAGATTAAGATTCTAGATCAAGATCATTATTGGATCTTTGGACTATATTATCATTAGATACTACTGATTCCGTAGGCTGAACTTTCTAATACAAAGTAATTGTGATGTATAAGTTACCATCAATTGGCAGCAACATTAGATTTGGGATTTTATCTTTTCAATTTGTAACTTTACGTTATATCGTTAAACCCCTTAACCCTATTCCATGTATCTATGTATCCCCATCATTTAAGACCCCATATGTCCCGAATGTGCACTCACCATATAGCTCGTTCTCCTTGATCCACGCACTCCTGCCCGTGTGCTGGAGCATGGTCTGGGCCATGTGGTGGTACGAGGACATCTCGTCCCCGAAGCTCCCCGGGAAGTTCTTGGGCAGATTGGGCAGGTATTGGCCGGCGGCCACCGCTGCAGCGGCCGCAGCATTGTGGCTGGCCAGCAGGTGGGCGGCGGCGGCGTTGGCGTGGGCGTGGCTCTGGGCATCGCCACTTTGGTGGTGCGCCAGTGGGAGTGGGGCCACCGCCTGCTGGTGGTGCGGGTTCTGCTGGTGGAGGTGGTGGTGCTGCTGCTGCTGCTGGTGGTGCGGGTGATGTGGGTGCTGCTGTTGCTGTGGATGACTCGGCTGTGCCGGATGCTGGGATGCATGGTGTTCGGTGGTGCTGTGGTGATCCGCTCCCGAACCCGAACCCGTTCCCGCTCCCGACCCACTGCCGTTGTGGTGCTCGTCCACCGAACCGCCGGCGGGCGTGGGCGAGAGGGCCGAGGGCGTGGCATGTGGTCCCTGACCGCCATGTCCATTGGTGGACTCACTGGTCGAGTGGTGGCTCAGATCACTGCCATGCTGCGCAGCTGCGGCGGCGGCGGCAGCGGCGTTCTTCAGCTCGGATCCCTCCAGATTCAGGATGTCCGATATGTGGAAGCCGGAGCGCTGCGACGATGGCACCTTCGCATCAAACAAGCTGCAAGATAAGTAACAAATTCTGGGTTAACCAATTGAATAAGCTAATCAAGGAACAATACTTAAATTCAAAAGTATAAAATGTTAATTTATTTATTTCATTTTACCCCTGAACTTTATCCGGCATTTCAAAAAACTAAGAGTTAAACTGCAAAGTCTACTTAAAGAAGTGTTGACATTTAAAAAAGTATTTTTAAATTCCATTTTTGGGTATTTAATATAGTATAATTTAGGAAATATTTATTTTAGGAAATAACAAAAGATTAGACTTTGGTTTGGACTTCTTAATCATAATATTAGAAGTACATAAAAATATACATTTATTTTCTGAAATTACCAAGATCGAATTCAAAACGGGATTCCCCAATTTTAATTATACAATATAAATCCTTATCATACTTCTCAAGAATAAGAACTGTGATAATTTTGACACCCATTTTTGAATAGTTTATTAATTGCCCCCGACAAATGGGCACAGAATTGTGTGATTAATGACTCCCACAATATAGAGAAGACTTGAAAAAAGGCTTCAGAAAGATTGTCATCCTGTTTAACATTTCACGCTCATTGCAGCGACATCCGGTGTCGATCTTATGAATGGCCGGAAGATGCCACAAAGGAAGGTCCTTTGGCAAGGATATGCAGTGCCAATGCAGGGGAAAACTACCTGTTCTACCTGCCGCGCTCTGACTTTCACAGATTTTCGCACTTGCCCATCGAAGGAGAAGCAGGGGGAGGGGGTTGTGCATCTTACAGATATATCCTTTATCTATATCCTTTAGAACCCAACTCGCACCTTTCCCCCGGAATTAACTTCGATTAAGGGCACGCAAATCGCTGGATTATTGACACCTAGTCCACGGCAGAACCCGAGTTTTGATTTTCCTAATACCATCAACAATTAAACGCAAATCCGCTCAGATTGCCGATCGATGGGCACTACCTGTTCGGGTCAGGTCAGGTCAGTTAAAACGGGATGGGACGAACGTTGGCCAGGTCGAAACAGGTCGTGCCACATGTTGGCGCAAGTTCGTCTGCTTCCGGTTTTCCCAACTCGAGTTTTCCCAAACACCCCGACTCGCGAATTTCCCACGCTACGGGCATACACACACGGGCATTCCCCGTCGTCCTGTGCGGAATTCCCATTGCCAGACAGTGTGACGCCAGGATCTGTGAAGGTATCGCAGTCCCGAGTCTGTCGCACACATGTCGCCGCCGATTGGGGTTTTCCTGCCACTCACCTACGGGAATTTCTAAGCCAGGCCCGAAACAACAAGCCAGAATTTCCCAACCGCCAATCGCCAGGACCTTGAGTACTTGCCAGATCGCAGAGACGGGGGAATTACGTCTTCGTGTATCGTGTATCTGCATGCTCAGCAGGATCTGGTTAATTTTTAGCAAGTGGCCTCCAGGATTAGCCGGACAAGTCCTGATTCGGAGGCAGGGGCTCGCAGGGGTGTGATCTTGATTTTGAGTCGGAGCTTAGGCGATGGCCGATTGCAGCTTAGGACTGGACTTGAAAGAAATTCGGATGATATCACACCGATTTGGCTATCTACACATCTTATCTGTCTTAAATTTCTATCACTCATTTCAACAAACCCATTGATGATTATTAAAGGTATGCTTTTAGAAAGTTAACACCACTCAATTAATATCCAGGGTTGTAAATAATACATAGATCATTTTCCAAAAAAAAAGTAACATTAAGTGTTTTATCTGTTGAGTAAATCAAGTACTGTAAGACATGTCAGAATGTTTTGAAATTGGAGTGTTGGCAAGCCTTTTGAAATTTAGAACATGCCTAAAATAACTTAAATATTTAACATACAAGAATGTTTTAAAAATTGGGAAGACATTATAATTTTTAAAGATCTAAAAAAAGTGAGCGATTAAGCTTTTAAATAAATAATAGTTTTAATATCTGTTGGTGATTAGATAAGAATGTCATAATGATTTTAGAGTTTACCAACAAATGAGATATGTATGCAGATTGAGGTTCATGGATTTTTCTTTAAGGAAAGATGTTAAACTAAAACGAAGCCTGTTTTAGATAGACTCACTAAATCTGTATATTTTTATTTTATAAAATGTTTGGAAATGCTGATAATGATATTAAATCTCTAGAGTTCAAACAAAGATATTGTCGGATTGCTGATTAGAGAAGGTATCCCGTAACCCGTATCCCGCTCCGAATAATTCGTATCTCCCAATCCACTATCCATTCCCCCAATCCGAATCCAAGTGCTTACCCGGGCAGAGCGTTTCGCAGGGCCGCCGGATAGAAGGCGGCTGGCAGGAGGGCGTGGCTCCACGGCGGCAGCAGGATGGGCGACCAGGGCAGGAAGGGGGCGGCTGCAGCGGCGGCCACTGCCGCCGACGACGGCACCATCAGGCTGCTCATGCTATGGAGTCCTGGGAATCCGCTGAAGGCCGCCGCGCCCGTCGGAATGCGCAGCTGCTCCGGCGCCAGTCCGGAACTGGAGCTGGTGTTCGTGGGCACGGTGGTGCTGGCGGTGCTGAAGACCTTGGCGGATCGCTCGCGATCTCTGTCCCGCTCCTCGCGATCCCGCTCACGCTCCCTTTCCCGCTCCCTCTCCCTCTCCCGCTCCTTTTCCCGCTCCAGCGAGGGCGTGGAGGTGCGCAGCGGGCGCTTGGGCGTGGCTGGGGAGGAGGGACTCACGGTGATCGCACTTTGCGGGGAGGCGGGCAAGCTGCCGGCGCTGCCTAGACCGCTGCTATTGTCCCGCTCGCGGTCCCGCTCCCGCTTCGAGGGAGTCCGCTCCAAGGACGTCGAGGTGGTCATGTCGCTGGGCGAGATCGGTGAGCCACTGTTCGACTTGCGACGCTGCGACGCGGGCGGCGGCGTGGGCGGACTTTTGCGTTTCTCCGCCACTTTGGAGCTTTTTCGATAAATCGGAGCACGACAAAAAAATATATTATTGGTACAAGCACAAGCACTGTTCAACTTGGTATCCTTATCCTAGCGAGGGCTAGCTCAATTTGCAGGCATAGTTCGGTTCAGTTTCGTTTAGTTTATCAACAGGAAAGTTCGGTAGTTCAAGGGTCGCGATACTCGATTCACGATTCACGATTCTCGATTTGAAGTTGTAAGGATCCGCGGAGCAGCGCACTCTAAACGTTCCAAACTGAAGTGTCATCAACAACTAACGAGGCATCAAGAACTCGACACGAGTCCAAGTCGCAACAGCCAACGGCAGAAAAGTACCAGGTCGTCCGTTCGGGGTGTCTTTGGGTATCTGTATCTCTATGTATGTGGTGCTGGTTCTTTTGCTGGTGCTGCATATCTGCATCCCTCTGCCATTGGGTACATAGCGCACGGATACACGGATACACGGATACACCGATACACAGATACTCGGATACACCGATATGCGCACACATACAAACTGGAGAGACTCTCGGCTTTGTTGGGCGCGCTAAGTGGCTTCTCATGTCCTTTTCAACAAGGATACGGCTACAATGTGAGTGGCCCATTCAACCACCGAGGAAAACAACCACCATTCGCCGCCAGAGCGGGATGCACAATCCGAGTCCTTGTGCCGTCAGGCCGTCCCGCTCTAACTCTCTCCTGTTGCTCTCTCGGCCGCTCTCAAGAGTGCCACTTGAGTGAGAGTGTGTATATGCGTGTGTGTGAGTGAGTCTGTGCATGCGTGTGTGTGAGGGCCATTGTAGCGCCTCGAGAACCTCCTTAGGTATGAGATATACCATCACCATCTTCAGTCCGGATTGGGACTCTGTGTATTCTGTATTCTGGATTCTGGACGCTGGGCTTCTGGTTCTCCCGTCCCGCTCGGTTGCACTTGATGTTGTCAACAATCGCCGCGTCATTATTTTGTATTTATCATTATCATCGCTCTACAACTGAGCCCCTCTGGACCTGGCAACTACATACTTGCCACCGACTCACGACGACGGTGCCACTAAAGGACATGTGCTTGTGGTCGGGTCTCGATATGATATCATCATATGGAGATATCAACCTTTTGAGTGGCATGGGCGATAAGGAAGATTTGCTGGGGATTACTATTGTAACCTATTCAAACATGGCAATTAGAGATACAATTTAGGCACCTAAATGCCAAAAAGGAAAACCAATGGCATATGTCGTAGACATCATTAAAGCCCAGAGGATCTCATTAGGATTCAAATAAAATCTAATTCCTTGGAGAAGTTTTATTCTTTTAATATTTGTTAACATTTTTATAGATCCTTTGAAATGATTCGTCGGGGTAAAAATGTCAACAATTTCATGTTTTTTGTCAAATCTATTCTTAATTTCTATATAATCATTATATGGAATACAGAAAAAGGTCCTTAAAGTTAGTAACACATTAAAATTATGGAAAAGAAAATAAGGTTAAAGTAATAGAAAAAGAAAAGAGGTCATTTTCAATACTTTTTAGTAACTTTTAATAGATAGAACAAAATGTCTTCAATCAAAGAAGCACTTTACTAATTAATAATACTAGGCAGTCTTACAAAGTATGTAAAAAATGCTTAATCTCAAACCCACGCTTTAAGTATCGTATCATATGTAGTACTTCGGTTATAAAAAGTTTATTATTGTAAAAGTTCTCTATTCCATAACCATGTTAGTGGTATGCTCTGGCTTTCTGTTTATTTTATGGTTCACTTTTTCGGAATCCAATTTCTTGCGTGTAACGGAACTGTTACAGAGCACTTGGACGCTAAAGAAGGGTCCTTATATACAAGGATGGCTTTGCTGTTCGTGCAATTTGAATTTCGATTTCATAAGCTAACCCATGATTAGCTCACATTCTTCACATGCCAATACATGGCGCCCACCTCTCTAAGGACACACCCAGGCACTTAGGTAGGGGTTTGGCGAAAAGAAAAAAGAATGAGCAGGCTAGGGAGCAAACAAAAATATATAGGAAAATACATAATCAACACGAACATTAAGCTAACCTGGGGGACAGTCATATAGCCCCCCCCCCCACACAGGACAATTGAAAA